TGATACCTAACCATATTTGGCAGATGGACGTCACACACTTGCCAGAATTTGGAAAATTAAAATATTTGCATGTTACAGTTGATACTTCTTCTGGATTTTAAATTAGTACATTATAGTGATGCAGTCACATCCATGTTTATAGTAGTACAATTCACAATAGCAAAGCAATGGAACCAAGCTAGGTGCACTTCAGCAGATGAATAGATGAAGAAAAAGTGGTATATATACCCAATAGAATATTACTCAACCATAAAGAAGAATGACATTGTGGCATTTGCTGATAAAGGGATGGAACTGAAGACTATCATGTTAAGTGAAATAGACCAGTCCCCAAAAGTCAAAGGTCAAATTTTTTTTCTGATATGTGGAAGCTAATCCTAAATAAAGGGAAGAGAAAAACAGAATAGAAGGAAGATCAGTGGAGTAGAGAAAGAGGAATGAAGAAAAGGGAATAGGAATGGAATAGGGAATGATAGTAGAATGAATTTGCTCTAACTTTCCTATGTACACATATGAATATACCACAATCTCACCATCATGTGACAGTAATTTTAAAAAATATATAAGTGAACATCAGAAAGATCAATAGAGTGGAGGGAGGGAATAGGGGGAGGATACAGGGGAGGGAAAGGGGAAGCACTGGGGACTGAATTAGAACAAATTATATTCCATATAATTGTGTCAGAATGAATCCTAATATCATGTATGACTAAAAATAACCAATAAAAAAAAGAAATGTTGAAGAGAGTCCTTCACAATGAAATGGAAAGATAATAGAAAACAGTTTTCAGCTATATAAATAAATAAAAATCTGCAGTAAGGTAACCTCATGGGCAAATATAAAATTCTGTACTGTATTTTGGATTTTAACTTTCTTATTTTCTCCACATAATTGAAAAGACAAATTCATAAATGAAAACTAAAAATCTAGGTTAATAGACACACAATGTATAAAGATTTCACATATAACAAAAACAATACAAACAGGAATGGATAAACCTATATAGAAGAGTTCTGTATATTATTAAAATAGAAAGCTACTATTAAAATAGCAAGCTGACTTGCTATTTTTAAACTAGATACCTTAAATAGAAGATGTTAACAGTAATACCCAAAGTAATCACTAAAAAGCAAGGAAAGTACAGAAAAGTAAATTAAAGGGGAGTAAAAGAAGGGAATTAAATTAGATTGATTATAAAAAACATAAAAATAACAATGAAAGACTTAAGGTACAAAAAAGTTATAGCACATACATGAAACAAATAGTCAAAGGGTATAAGCCCTTCCTTATGAGTACCTTACCTTTAAATGAATTATAGCTTCCAACTATAGTGTCTAGAGGAAGCCCCACTTCAAAAATCAAAGTTATCACCAGATTGCAAATTAAAGGATGAAAGAAAGTACCAAAAGAGAAGCTGGATGGCTATACAACAACAGGCAAAACATATTGTTATGGGGCTAGGGTTGTGGCTCAGTGGTAGAGTGCTTGCCTTGCACTGGGTTCAATCCTCAGTACCACATAAAAATAAACAAAAGTATTAAAAAACATATATGTAGGACTGCCCACACCAGCCCACATGAGACCCAGGCTCACAGAAGGCCCAGTCTACCCCTCCATCTACAGGGCAGATACCCACCAGAGCCAACACCCTCCAGAGCCTAGCGTCTGGCATAAGACCACTCCTTCCGACCAGCAGACTATCACGGGAGGTCAAGCTCAATGGCCCAGATCCACCCACACTGACTTATGCAGGTCCCAAGTCCAGGATGCAGTAATATACATTGAGGGACACTAGCAGGGTCCAGAAGCCAAACATCAATCTCAGGTACAGACAATCTGCATGGGTACTACAAGAATATGGGGTAGAAATGGTAATATCTCAGATCCACACTGCAGGAAAGGAAGACATATAGACAATATGAAAAAATAAGGGAGGAAATTGCCCCAAACAAACCAAGACACTAATGACAGAACCCATGGACAGTAAAGTTGATGAAATGTCAGAGAAGGAGTTCCAAAGGTTCATAATTAAAATGATCTGTGAATTAAAGAATGATCTAAATGAGCAAATACAGGCAAAAATTGATCACTCCAACAAGAGATAAGAGAGCAAATACAGGTAGCAAAAGATTACTTCAAAAGAGAGATAGAGACTCTGAAAAAAAACCAGTCAGAAATCCTTGAAATGAAGGATACAATAAATCAAATAAAAAAACTCAATAGGAAGCATAACCAATAGACTAGATCACTTGGAAGAAAGAAGATCAGACAATGAAGACAAAGTATACAATCTGGAAAATAAAGTTAATCACACAGTGAAGATAGTAAGAAACCATGAACAGAACATCCAAGTATTATGGGACAGAATCAAAAGACCAAATATAAGAGTTATTGGGAGAGAGGAAGGCACAGAGTTTCAAACCAAAAGAATGCACAATCTCTTCAATGAGATAATATCAGAAAATTTCCCAAGCATGAAGAACGAGTTGGAAAACCAAATACAAGAGGCTTACAGGACACCAAATGTATAAAATTACAATAGATCTACACCAAGGCCCATTATAATGAAAATGCATAGCATACAGAATAAGGATAGAATCTTAAAGCCGCAAGAGAGAGGAATCAGATCACATATAGAGAGAGGGAGACCAATTCATATCTCAGCAGATTTTTCAACCCAGACCCTCAAAGCCAGGAGATCATGGAACAACATATACCAAGCTCGGAAAGAAAATGGATGCCAACCAAGAATCTTAAATCCAGCAAAACTAAGCTTAAGATTTGATGATGAACTATAAACCTTCTGTGATAAACAAAAGTTAAAAGAATTTACAACTAGAAAGTCTGCCCTACAGAACATTTTCAGCAAAATATTTCAAGAAGAGGAAATGAAAAAAAAATGATGAAATTCAGCAGAGGGAGAGATTATATTAAAAGAAAATCTAATCAGACGAGAAACCAAGTCATGTTAAATACTAAAAATAAACAAAATGGCTGAGAATATAAATCATGTCTCAATAATAACCCTGAATGTTAATGGCCTAAACTCACCAATCAAAAGACACAGACTAGCAGACTGGATCAAAAAAAAAAAAAAGACCCAACAGTATTCCACCTCCAAGAGACTCATCTCATAGAAAAAGATATCCACAAACTGAAGGTGAAGGGTTCAGAAAAATCATAAAGATGAGTTTAATGGCAAATATTTTTAGTTTTAAATTTTGTTTTATAGTTAGATGAATTAATGCAAATTCATTTAACTTGAGTAAAAGAAATTGCTAGCCATGCACTACTTATAGAAGAGGGATAGGTTGGGGCGAAATAAAATTTAGAAATTCTGCATTCCATAAAGGCTGTAATCTCTAATTAATACAGGAAGAGGGTATGCTCATCATTTGTAATTTATTCAGATATTATCAGCCCTTCCCAAATAACTTTTTAAATAAATCCTGATACTTGCTTAAATATTTTTAAAAACTGTTTTATTTTTGAGAGTTATGGGGAACTTTAGCATTGTGGCTCATGATGTTAGAAAACATGTTCTAAAATCAGACAGACCTGGGTTTGAATTCCAAGCCAAGAAATCAGAAGTTTTATAAGCATGGATAAATCGATTTATTTTCTAAGCTTGACCCCTAAGATCTCTAATTTTAACTTGTCTTTGTAATCTGTATTATAAAAAATATATAGGATATATTACCAAGATATCCAGATTTCTTGGAAGGCCATCCCCATCAGGCAAATAAATTACCCATCTGAAGACAAAAATCATATACCACTTATAAAAACCTAGAGAAATAGCACAACCATTAATTATTCACTTAAAATATTAAGCATCCTGAGACTGAGTTCCTCAGCTTTTATTGTCAATTGTACTGCTTTTGTACATAGGCCCCATAAGCTTTTCTTGATGCATGTAGAAGCTATTTCTCTTAAGAATCCAGATTTTTTTTCCTAAGAATTCTAGTTGTAGAGTATACTATAGATATGATTGCATATTCTTAATAATTATTTTAAAATTATTCATGATGTAGTCAAAATGAAGTGCAGGCTCCACATGATAATTTGTTTCAAATTGTAATTCAAATTGCAAATGGATTCCTTATCCCCAAACAGAGGTCTTATGGACACAAGACCTAGGTTACCTATCTCCTATCTCAAATCATTGACTTCCTCTGTATAAATCTTCCCAGGATACCAGAACAATCTCATGCAAAGCAGTATACCATGATATAATCTTTGGAGTCAGATATAGATGTGTAAAATTCTGGATTAATTCTATTTTATCTGTGTATTCTTATATGAATTTCTTATTCTTCTTAAGTCTCAGTTTCCTTGTCTGTAAAACTGAGGTAATACCATCTTGTCAATTATAGAGGAAAGTAAATGATATATTGTCTATAAAATCCTACACATATGGATCACTACATAATAATAAATGGCAGTTAACTCTTATTAGTTTCAAAGTACTCTGGATTTTTCATGTCATTTTATACTCTAAAACCAGAATGAGTTCTTTGGGCCATAAAAATTCAATTCAATCTCTCTGATTATGCTTTTAATGTTTTCTATATTCTGGCCCAATTTCACCACCATTTCCAGGATTCAGAGACCAGACCATAGTCAGACTAGTTTTCTTTTGATCTCTTTTACTCAGCATTATCAACTTACAAATACTGTCATTATTCTTTTCCTTCACTTGGCTAGTTTCACCATTATACCAAGACCTTCCCCTTCCTTAGGTTTCAGCTTATATCCTTTTCCTCTATGAAACATTCCATTAATGACACAAGCTCACTGCTTTCTTCTCTAACAACTAGTACCAGCTCTTAGAGGATGTGGGAAAAGAATGGAATCTGTCTGTGATGTACTCTCATTTTCCCTATCAGAGCCTGCTCACCTTTCTGTGAATTCCTACCATTTCAAGCATCCATTTTACATAGTTATGGAGGCTTCTAGTGGGTACTAAACTAATTTTATTTTCCATTGATATTACTAGGATTATAGTCCAAAGAAAGGATGAACCTGTGCTTCTGCAAACTATCTTGATTCCAGCTGGCCTGCTTAATGCAGGTGAGAAGTATCACAAAAATATATAAACTTATGGTAAATATAAGTTTGGTAATAGCATAATGTGATATACTATATCCAATGGGTATTTATAAATAGACCCACATAACTAGGAATAAAATCTTGAGTCATATGTCGTAGATCTGAAATGAGGTTTAGATATTTTCTGTTCACTAGGGACATCATGGAGTAGTGTAGCAATTCTCAAATACAGATTCTTAGGTTCTACCACAGATACTCTGTGGGGTAAAGCCTAGGAAACATCAAAATGTTTATTGAGTATTTGAGGGGTGCAACAGAAACCGGAAATATAGTGAAGAAAGTATATACTTCAAAAGGAAGATCTGCATTCCAAGTTTGTTTCTGCCTTTTACTTTTACGTGATGTCAAATCTCTCTGGGCCTCACAGTGAACATTAAGTGAGATGAGGTATGTATATTGTCTGGCATATAATAGACATTAATTAAATAAGAACTGTTTATCTATAATCTATATGAACATATAAAAAACATGCTTATCAAACCCATTATTGCCACAATATGGGGAAAGAAAGCTAGCACAAAATATGCTGACATGACCTTGAGTCTTAAAACTACTATGCCAAACACGCACAACATTAACGTGTGCTGAGGGCCATTACCAAGTAGGAATGACGCATCGAAATTTCCTTGCCAAGCGTACCCCATGCTGCTTGGAGGACATTCGATGGGACATTGCATGCATGCTTTAATAAGGTGACCTTGCTCAAGGACCAAGGCGGATCCGGGTTTAGAGCTGATCAGGTTTGAGGAAGTAACTGGCTCCTTGAGTTTAAGGCGTTGCCAGTTTAAGATAATGGGTTTTAGGGAAGTTAGAGGTTGAAGATTATTGCTGGGATTAGGGTGTTCCTGTTGCTTGTTCCCGTTGAGTTCTCGTGAGATTAAAAGGGGATTTGGAGATAGCCTCATGTAGTAGGTGAATTGTGCGGGAGACGGCAGAACGCGATTGCCCCTGGACCTGTGTGGAGGTGGTGTGAGAGCTGGAATAAAGAATTGCTGTTTGAACCTACAAAGCTGTGAGTGCCTCGTGATTCTGGTGCCAAGCCGAGACATTGGCCTTTGGCAAACGTGGATGAAATCAGACAGTGGATTTAGGTTGCAAAAAAAAAAATCACATAATTAAAAGACAGGAAACCTTTGGAATAATTTAGTAAATAGAAAACCAACAGGAACTTCCCACAAGTTTTTGTTGACTTCAAGTTTGGTAAAAGGGAAGTCTATAAATTCAAACAAACTTTGCATAGGGAATTAGGAAGCTGGGAGATTAGCATATCTAACAATATTTGTATCCTCCACAATTCTTAGTAAAGTAACTTCTTTATAGAAAAAAGCTCAAGGGTATTTTCAGCAAATCTATAATAATGTGTGATGAAATTGAAGGTCAATTTGACTTTGGCTATATTACTATTAATAACAGTATGATATCTAATATTTATTGAGTGCTTATTGTATGAAATACAACATGCTAAATATTTACATGTATTATTTTCTTTCATCAATAAATCTTTTATCTCACTCTGTAAATAACAATTTCTTTGATCATAAATTTTAAAAAATATTTTTAGTTGTAGATGGACACAATGCCTTTATTTATTATCTTTATGTAGTACTGAGGATTGAACCCGGGCCTCCCATGTGCTAGGCGAGCACTGTCCCACTGAGCCACAATCCCAGCCCCTGAGCTTAAATTTTAAACACAGTCATTTCAAGGCCTAAGTCAGTGGAACTGCTAAGTTGTCACAATAATTTCCACTAAATAAGGTAAATATACTTCAAGATTCATAATTGGTAATTCTAGATTGGGATAATGCTAGAATAACTTCTTTAGTTTTGATGCAAATTTCTCTGGGTAATTCATTTTAATAATTACTTCAGATATGATATGCATATACAAATCTTTTTTCCCCCCTGTGGCAAATTTAACCCTTAAGAAAAGTTTAGGCCTTTTAATGACTTTTTAGTTGTCCTTTGACTAAAATGTGAGCTATACTAATTTGAGAGAATCATATTTTCAGAATTAGATATGCCCTACAGACTGGCTTTTTGATTTGGTGGTCTCTTCATAAGGCTTCATATTTCAATTTTTATTTATGTTTATCATTTTGTCCTCTGATAATTTGCCTCCCTCTAATACCTTCTTTGATAAAAGCTCTGCTTTCATGATGTTTGCCATTTCAGAAAGGAATATTTTTCCTTAATATATTTCCTCCTTCCCTGAATAAGTTATTTACTCAGCTTACACTCATTTATTTGGAATTTTATATGCTTCAGGGACACTATATCTTCATTCTATATTTGAATAATTATGGTTCTTGACCTCTGTGACAGACATACCCCTTGCAATATTTTATTTGTATCCTTTATTTTTTCTGAGTGAAGTTAGAAGGATGGAAATTATAATAAAATCTTTAAAATCCACAGAACCTAGATCAGGAATCTTTTATCAGTCAATGCTCAGTCAAGGGACACAAACTATACTATAATCTGAACAAGAAAAGTTTAATATATCAAGAATTACTAACTTCAGCCAGGCAAGGTTGCACAAGCCTGTAATCTCAGTGGCTCAGGAGGCTGAGGAAGGAGGATCATGAGTTCAAAGCCAGCCTCAGCAACAGCAAAGCGCTAAGCAACTCAGTGAGATCCTGTCTCAAAATAGAATACAAAAAATAGGGCTGGGACTGGGGCTCAGTGGCCGAGTGCCCCTGAGTTCAATCCCCAGTACATACCCCCCTAAAAAAAAAAAAAAAGAATTACTAACTTCAACAGGGGATTGGAATTGGGAAGGAATGACTTGTAAGGATTAAAGGAAACCCTTTAAAAATATAGGAAGAGCAGGTATAAGAAACAGTCACTGTCCTGGAACTCAAGATAGTTACCCAAGAAACATTCCCCAACCCTCATGGCTGAGATCTTGACCTTGTAACTCAAGGCCCAGCCATGGCCCATTGAAAGGCAGTCAATGAAGAGAATGCTATGCCAGAGTTAAGTTAAACATCTGCCTTCCAGAATTTGCTGGAAATCTGCTTTGTAAGATGTCACGGAAAACATCTTATGAAACTGTCCAAGATTGGTGCCAGGGTAGCTGCAGGCTTCTGGGTGGTGGGTGCTGCTGACCACCAAGTAACATGGTAGCCTGAAGCTCTGGCAACACAGCTGTTCACACTGCAGGAGGGAACATACCAGAACCAGGGAGGAAAATCCCTTCCTTGTGCCTCTGAAAAAGTTTAATATTATTCAGGCTGGCAAAGGAAAATACTTAAAGGGCATATCTACATTTTTGTGGAGCACAAAAAGGTGCATATATTTGCAGCTGAGAGACTATAAATTGATAACTGGCACACCAGGTAACCCATATCTAACAGGAATATCAGAATAGCATCTGGTTAAATTTCCTACCTTCCAGCAGATAGATGCCTATGTTACCTCACACAGATGGTTGTTAATTCTGTTTAAACATAGGTTTCCTTTAGAATCCACTATACTCTTAAAAATCTATACACGTTCACTGGAATAAATTTTGCACATATTGAAAAATTATAACAAAGAAATAAAATAACCTATAATTTCAGAGTTTAAAGAAAACTAATGCTAGCATTTCTGTATACAGTAGTCATCCCTTATCTGTAGGAAATATGTTCCAAGACCCCCAGGAGATGTCTTAAATCTTGGATTATATTATTGAAGCTTATATAAATATTTTTCCTATACATAGATACTTGTGATAAATTCAATTAACAGTTTAGATACATTAAGAGATTAATAATAACTAATAATAAACTAGAAGTCTTATATTACAGTATAATAACATATTGTATACAGTATAATATACTATAATAAAAGATATGTGAATATGACCTCTCTTTGTGCTTAAAACAGTTTGTACTGATACTCACCATTCTTCTTATGATAATATGACATGACATCATACCAATGTGATGAGATTGAATGACACAAGCACTGTGGTCTAGCATATTATGTGAGTTATTTGAATAGAAATATAGCTATACTGCAATAGTTAATCTGATAACTCAGATGGTTACTAAGCCACTACAAGTAGGCAGCATATTCTAAATAGATGTCATGGGCAAAGTAATGATTCACATCCTAGGCTGGACTGGAGTGGAACACAGTGAGATTTAATCAAACTGCTCAGTATGGTGTACAATTTACAACTTATGAATTGCTTATTTAAGGAATTTTCAATTTAATATTTTTGGACTATGGTTTACTAGAAGCAATTGAAACCATTCAAAGTGAAACCACAGAAAGGGGGTGGCTACTACATATTCTTATAGACTTTGTTGCATTTGTCCTATTCACTATTCAACTAAAGCTTAGCATCTATTAGGTATAACCACGGTAAAATTATGAAGTGTACCATGGTAAACCGACTGAGCTCTTCCCCATCAACTCTGAATCTAATGAGGTGAGCAAATGGTAAGCTGGTAAATTGATGAGCAAATAGTAAATTGATTTGATACATACATATTTATAATATCTTTTAATAATAAAATTAGGTTCATTTAATGTATGCTAATTTGTATTCAGCTTTATTTAAGATTATGTTACAAATATTTCTAATGTCATTAAAAGTTTTTAGAAATGTTGTTTTTTATAACTGAAATAAATCCTATGATTTAAATATTATTTAATTTTCTTAATGTTTTACTCTATTTGGACAACTTTTAGCATTTTAAATAATTTCTGCATTGTGGTACATTATAGATGTAATGATCTGGGTAAATCACTTACCCTCTCTGTCTTCAATAAAGTTATGATACTAACTACCTCCTGTGGTTTGGGGGAGGATAAAACATATATATTACATAATATATATGTTTATGTGTGTATTTATATATGTGTTATATATGTAATATATAAAAATCCCCTAATACAGTATCTGAAAACTTAAGCTATTTAAATATTAGCAATTATAAATGAATCTTTATATGTCTGTATGTTCCTCAGATTTAAGTGCCTTGATTGTTTTGTTTACTCTTCGGATCCCTAAATTCTGTCTCTCACCTGCAGTTAGAATTGAATATTTATTTAACAAATTACATAAAAAATTTCTTCATCTATAACCCAAATTGCTTGATGGGATGAATTTGTACCAAGTGAAATTTCTAGATTAAAGACCATGAGTATTTTTAAGGATCTTGATAACTGAAAAATTACATTTTAGAAAAAGAACAATTCATTTTCTAACCATAGTACATATAAAAACTCTTACTCTACTCTTATGAGCATTACGTCTTATAATTTTTTAATTTCTATTTTTTAATAATGTATTACCTTATAAGCTGCTTAGGTTTCTATTTATTTAATTACTAGTGTGGTGGAACATGTTTTTCTAATTGAATATACTCTTTAAATTGTCTATTTTCTTTATCCAAATTTCTACTGACATGGATTTTTTTCCTTATTGTCTAAGGATTACTTTTATCATTAAGATACTAACCATTTGTTAAATTTTTAAATATAGTTTAACATTTGCTTTTTAAATTTACATATGCTGCTTTGTTGCATTCAGGTAATCTTAACTTTTGTGCAGTATTGCTGATTCATTTTTTTGTGATTAACTCCATGGTCTTATTACTAAAAGTCTTTCTACATGTGGCAGTCAATAAAAGCATCACACATATGCCATTAAATGTTTCTTTTGTTGTTTTGTTTTTTTGTTTTTGGTTCCAGGGATTGAATTTAGGGGCACTTGACCACTGAGCCACCTCCTCAGCCCTATTTTGTATTTTGTTTAGAGACAGGGTCTCACTGAGTTGCTTAACGCCTTGCTTTTGCTGAGGCTGGCTTTGAACTAGTAGTGATCCTCCTGCCTCAGCCTCCTGAGCCACTGGGATTAAAGGCGTGCACCACAGTGCCCAGCTTTAAATGGTATTTTGAACTTAATTTTTTGATTCATTGTAACTTACTTTACCAACTAAATATAGTGATTGTTCTCAAAATCAATTTTTACAATAATTCATTCTTCTCATGGCAAATTATTTTTTTTCTAAAATATTATTTTTTATATTGAGTAGGGTCTTTGAATTCTATTAAGTTCCAGAGATTTTTACAATGTACAATTACCATTGCTATGGTTTAGATATGAGGTGTCTCCCCAAAGCTTATGTGTGAGACAATGCAAGCAAGTTTAAATTGAAATGACAGCCTTAACCCAATCACTGAATTCATTTCTTGATAGGGATTAACTAGGTGGTAACCTTAGGCAGGTAGGGTGTGGCTGGAGGAGGTGGGTAACTAAGAGCATGTCCTTGGGGTTTATATGTTATCTGTGGTGAGTAGAGCTCTTGCTCTCTCCCTTGAGTTCTCTCTCTCTCTCTCTCTCTCTCTCTCTCTCTCTCTCTCTCT